CCCCAGGCCACGCGGCTCCCTGCTCCTGGCGGGCCGGGGGTTGGCGGGCAGCCCGTGTCGCCCTCCACCTGGGCGTCCGTGCTGGAGACCGCCCAGGCCGCCGCCAGCCACCACCCCCTTGGGCCGCTGTGCCGGGCAGCAGGGCGACGGAGGGCCCCGACCCCTGTTGGAGTTTTCAGGGCAGGTGTCTCTGACGTTGCTTAGTCACGGTCCAGCCAGGACACCGAGGACCAGGTTTCTTCCAATCTTATAAACGCGAGCAGGCAGGACTCCGGCCAGGGAGGCCGGGCCGCACTGGCGTGTGCGGCCTCCAGCCCTGGCATCGGGGAAAGAGGCTGGTGGGCCTCGGAGCCTCGCTGAAGAGTGGCGGATGTGGAGAGCCCGTGGTTCCTTCTGCGTCCCCCGGGAGGAAAACCCCCCGCAGTGCCCAGGGACACTCCTCACCGAGTCACTGAGTGGCCCGTTTCCCCTCAGGAAGATGTCCTCAACACCCAGTGCGGCTACGACGTCCGGCTCAAGCTGGTGAGGGCACGGCACTGGGGAGGCTGGACGGGAACAGCCTCCCGCGAGCTCGCTGTGGCGCCTCGGGGATTCTGTGGGGGAGAGCCGGGTTGCGGGAACACCCTGAGGCCCAGGGCTTGGACGGGGAGAGGATCGGGGGGCACTTGTGGCTGTGGCCACTCCCACTCTCTCGAGCCCCTGCTGGGTGCCTGGCATTGCCCCGACCCCGGGATTGCATGCTGATGAGACCGACAGAGCCTCTGCTCTGGAGGGGTGCAGGGAGACAGATCTCCTAGATAAAGAAGTCTGTTGACCAGGCGTGGTGGTTCACACCTGTGATCCCAGCATTTTGGGAGGCTGAGGTGGGAAGATCGCTTGAGTTCAGGAGTTTGAAACCAGCCTGGGCAACATAGCAAGAACTTGTCTCTACAAAAAAAATAAATAAATAAAATTAGCCAGGCATGGTGGCACCTGTAGTCCCAGCTACCTGGGATGCTGAGGTGGGAAGAGCGCTTGAGCCTGGGAGGTCGAGGCTGGACCCTGATGGTGCCGCTGCACTCCAACCTGGTGACAGGAGACCCTGACAAAAATATGTATGTGAACAGTTATGTGACAGTTTCAGCTGGGAGCTTGGAAGAAATTGAGGTCGGTAGCGAGGCAGGGGCTGGGCGGCCAGGGAAGGCCTCTCGGAGGAAGGGGCGTCCGTGCTGAGGCCCCGTGAGAAGGAGCCGCCGTGCCAAGGCCCTGCGGTAGAGCTCCAGGGAGCTGGCTGGCAGGTGTAGGCTGGGCCGGGGGGGCGGCTGCGGGGGCGGGGTCCAGCCATGCCCGTGTGTCCCCAGGAGCTGGAGCAGCAGGGCTTCATCCACACCAAGGGCTGCGTGGGCCAGTTTGAGAAGTGGCTGCAGGACAACCTGATCGTGGTGGCCAGCGTCTTCGTGGGCATCGCCTTCCTGCAGGTACCGCGGGGCCCGTGAGCCGCCCCACCCCCGCTGGGTCGCGCCTCATGCCCCCTGTCTTGCAGATCTTCGGCATCTGCCTGGCCCAGAATCTCGTGAGCGACATCAAGGCCGTGAAGGCCAACTGGTGAGGCCGCGGCCACATGCCCGTCCTCCCAGACCTCTGGCGGGCCCCCGGATCCTCCTCCCAGGCTCCGGATGGACAAGGCTGCGGGAGGCATTTCTGCTTGGACCTGAGCCTGCGTGGGCTGGGCCTGTGCTCGGGGCTCAGGCTGGGCTGCTTGTCCTGGAGCTGCTGTGTGTGCGCGTGCGTGTGGAAGGGGTGTGCATGGAGGGGGCTGTGCATCGAGGGGTGAACATGGAGGGGACTGTGTGTACATGGAAGGGTGTGTAACTGTTGAGGGCTGTGTGTGGAGGGGTGTGGTGGAGGGGCTGTGCTGGAAGGGGCATCTGGGGGGTGCATGGGGTACGCATGGAGGAGTGTGTGCGCCCACACACACGCACGTGCACCCAGGGGAGCCCCGTCTCGGCTGTGAGGGGCTGTGATGGGTGGTGGGCTCTCCAGGAGCCTAGAAGGGCGCAGCTGAGAGGGGCAGGCAGACGGGGCCCTGTGGGGGCTGCCCGCGTGCTCTGCCGCACGCCAGGTCCACCTTCTGTGCCTGGCTGTGTGGGGCGGGCGGACTTCGGGGCCTGCTGTCACCGGGACCACCTCATAGCGCCCTTTGCACTAGCTACGACCTTGACCTACCACAAGCCCTTCTCAGCCTCAGCGCCCTAGACTCTGAAATGGGCCCCTGAGTTTTCTCTCCTGCTTGCCTCTCAGAGCAGAGACGATGGCTGGACACTGCTGAAATAAACACAACTTTGAAAACCACTCTCCTGCGCCCACCTTCTCGGAGGTTTGGTCCTCTGCGGGTCCTCATCAGAAGTCTCGGTGGGGGTCTCGGCCTGGCCCCACCCGGCCGGCGTGTTTTCGTTGGCCCGAGTAGTGCGTCTGCTGGAGCTAATGCCGGAGAGCCGGCGTGTTCCGCGTAGAGGCCCAGATTCACAGCTCCTGGGAGAATGGCCGTGGCCACATGGGCCCCTGAGGACACGGGCTGCTGTCGTGGAGAGTCTCCGTTGTCCCGGTCTCACTCACATGCCCCGCTAGGCCCCTGCAGGCCGGATCTGGCCTCTCTCGCCTCCAGGATGGAGGGCAGGGAGGTCAGCCCCCGCCCCGGGAAGATCCAGCCCTGCGGGGGCCTGAGGCGGGGGCCAGCGCGCCCAGGAGAGTGCCGAGGGGCAGGATGGGGGTGGGGAAGACTTGGCAAAGGAAGTAGCCGGAAGCCGGGCATTGAGGGCTGAGGGAGTGGGTCTGGGCGGGGGGCTCTCGATGCCACCTGGGAATCGAGGCCAATGTCTTCCCCGTGGCTGCAGGGCTGCCTTCTGGCCACCAGAGGGCGCACCACGGCGTCCCCTGGGTCCACTGCTTTCCACCTGCAGCCTCTCCGGAGCCGGCACCTGGGTGCCCACGGGCTCAGAACTGGGAAACTTCTGCAGGCCAAACGGGCTCAGGCCTGGGGCGCCCAGCTGCTAGCCGCAGCTCTGCCTCTTACCAGCTACACAAAGGGGGCCCTGCTGCCCCCTCCTGGGCTGTGGGTGAAAGGAGGGGCTGGCCCAGGCCAGAGGTCTCCAACCCCGGGGCCACGCGGGCTGTGTATGTGGAGGAAGCCGACCTCAGAGCCGGGAGGCCTGCTTCCCTTTGTCCCACTGTTGCTGGAGACAGAAGGATGTTGCTTTGTGATGAGAGAACGTTGGCACAGCCTAGTTGGTAACGACCACTGGCCTTGAGAGCAGTGGGGTGTGGTGGGGACTGGCACAGCACAGACCCCTTCGGGTGAGGGACTGCTGTGTCCCAGCTGGAGCCCATTGCTGCAATGTGGGATTGCAGGTCAGTGTCAGAAATCTGGAGAAAACACAGAGACAGGTTTTTATGGGAAATATCTTGATTTTGAAGTTGTTAGCAACGCAACACATTCGACAATGAAATCTGCAAGCCGAGCAGAAGGTGTGGGCCCAGCTTTGACCCTGGTGCCACTATAGGTCCCTCTGGGACAGTTGCCCACTGGTCCTGGTTGCTGTGCTGCTCAGGGATACTGGGCGCGGCGTCGGGTGGGCAGGGAGTGGGAGGAGGCCACATTGTGCTCCTGGCACAGGCTGGGGGGGCCCGGGGCCCGGCAGGCGCACCATGGTGGCTTATACTCTCTGCAGTAAACTCAGCTCCTGACGGCGAGCGTGTCTTGCATTTTTTGCTTTCAACAATTTTTACCTTCACTTTCTCCCTCAACCACAACACCCTCGCGAGGTGGCGTCTTTCCTGAGGGGGAAGCCAGCTCGGAGAAAGGAGGGAGGTTGCCCGGAGTGCACAGCGGATGGAGGCCCCCGAGTGGTGACCCTCCTGCTGGAGTTTTGTACCACACCTGTCCTGCCTTCCTGGTGCATCCGGGTGGGACCCGTCCTCAGAGTGTACAGATGACATTCACTCCCCATGTGAGTGGAGAGTTCGCTTGGGGTGGAGACACGGGAGGGGCACTGTCTGCCCTTGAGCTACTTTCTCATAGGGAGGACCCAGGAGAGAATTAGACCCGCATTTATGTAAATAACGTGCTGTGAATAGCAGCAGCTGCCAGGAAGGGGGGTAGGAGAAGCACCGTCAAAGGGACACTCGCAGGGAGCAGTGTTCTAGGTCTGGGCATGAGCTTTCATAGAGGCACAGAAGCCAAGGTCATCCATTCACCCACCCATCCGTCCACTCACCTACTCCCCATCCATCCATCCATCCATCCACTCATCCACCAGTGAGTGCATCTATCCATCTAACAGTCTATCCATTAACCAGTCCACCCACCCACCCATCCATCCATCCACCCGCTGATCCATCCATCCATCCCTCCATCCCTTCACCCACCCACCCACATATCCATTCATCTCACCCATCCACCCACCCACCCATGCATCCATCCAACCACTCCCCTACTCACCCATTCATTCATCCACTACTCATCCATCCATCCATCCACCCACCCACCCATCCACTCACCATCCATCCACCAACACATCCATACATCCATCCATCCATCCACTCACCCGCCCACCCACTCATGCTTCCAGCCACCCAGCCACCCACCCATTCGCTCATCTACTCATCCATCCATCCATCATCCATCCAACCACCTACTCACCCACCCACCCATCCGTACATACACTCATCTACTCACCCCTCGGTTGATCCACCCATCCATCCATCCACCCACCGATCATCCATCTACTCACCCATCCATCCATCCACCTACTCATCCTTCTATCTATCCATCCATCATTCACCCACCCACCTTCTCGCCTTCCATCCGTTCATTCAACCACCTCCCCCCTCATCCATCCATCCATCCACCCACTCACTCATCCATCCATCCTTCCACCCAGCATCCACCCACCCACCTACTCACCCTTCCATCTATCCAACAACCCTCCCTACCCATCCACCCGTCAACTCATCTACTTACCCATTGATCCAACCACCCACCTACTCATCCACTCACCCATCCATCCATCCATTCACTCTCCCACCCATCCATCCACCCACCTACTC